TCCTTATTTCAGGGCCCTTCCTCTACCTTCAAGGTGTGTCACTCAACCTGGTTTCATCTTTACATCTTGTCCCTGTGATTCTGATCCTCTCATCTTTCTCTTATGAGGACCCTTGAGATTACATTGAGCCTACCCATATAATCCAGGATAATTTCTCCATTTCAAGATCCTTTACTAAATTACATCTGCAAAGTGTCTGTTACCATATAAGTTAGCATACTCACAGGTTCTGGGGAATAGGACATGGACATCTTTGGAGTGTCATAATTCAGCCTGCTACACTAATACTATGAATAGCAACCTTCTTCATTGTTTTATTTTAGGGGTTTGCAAAATGAAAGTCAGCAATAATATTTGTTGAGTGAATGAAGTTTTCCACATCCCTTTGGTTACAATGATTAGTATCAATACATGTGATAGGATCCAAACAGAAGAAAGTGTTGTCAGTAAGAGTCTTCCTTTAGGACACTCTGCTACAAGAAAAAGAGTTGGCTGGAGCTCATATTGCAACATCACAATCAAGCTGGTACTTACTCCACTATAGTGAGAATGTAGAACACACTTTATGTAGCTAGCCTCAGGACTATGATAAATATTAATAAATATTATGAAACAATGTAGCCAAAGGAAAAACCCCTTGACCAAATAATCTTTACTTTCCTTTACTTAGTTTGTTTATTAAATTTTTTATTATAAAGTCTCATAATTATAGGAATGTTAGAAGATAAAGCACAGACTACTCATCCAAAGAGAAAAAAAAATTCCTCCAAGATTATTTCCTTTGTTATTCTCAATATAAGCATAAATTATACTTATTTAAAGTGGCAAGTAGTAGAGAAGTATAAAAGTGAAACTATTAAGGCTACTTACTTTCCTTTTGCCCTCTTCCCTGTACCCAGATGTTGTGGGAAGTCAGGGACCCCGAATGGAGGGACCAGCTGAAGTAGCGGCAGAAGAACATAAATTGTGAAGATTTCATGGACATTTATTAGTTCCCCAAATTAATACTTTTATAATTTCTTACATCTGTCTTTTCCTCAATCTCTAAATGTAAATTGTGAAGATTTCATGGACACTTATCACTTCCCCAATCAATACCCTTGTGATTTCCTATGCCTGTCTTTAATCTCTTAATCCCATCATCTTCGTAAACTGAGGAGGATCTATGTCACCTCAGGATCCTGGGATGATTGCGTTAACTGCACAAATTGTTTGTAGAGCATGTGTGTTTGAACAATATGAAATCTGGGCACCTTGAAAAAAGAACAGGATAACAGCCATATTCAGGGAACAAGAGAAATAAGACTTTGGACTCTGACTGCTGGTGAGCTGGACAGAACAGAGCCATATTTCTCTTCTTTCAAAGGCAAATAGGAGAAATATCGCTGAATTCTTTTTCTCAGCAAGGAACATCCCTGAGAAAGAGAATGCGCCCTGAGGGTAGGTCTATAAATGGCCCCCTGGGGGTGGCCATCTTTTACGGTCAAAGTCCAAGGGATGAAATAAGCCCCAGTCTCCTGTAGCGCTCCCAGGCATATTAGGATGAGGAAATTCCCACCTAATAAATTTTGGTCAGAAAGGTTGTCTGCTCTCAAACCCTGTCTCCTGATAAGATGTTATCAATGACAATGTGTGCCCGAAATTTCATTAGCAATTTTAATTTCGCCCTATCCTGTGGTCCTGTGATCTCGCCCTGCCTCCACTTGCTTTGTGATATTCTATTACCTTGTGAAGCATGTGATTTCTGTGACTCACACCCTATTCATACACTCTCTCCCCTTTTGAAAATCTCTAGTAAAACCTTGCTGGTTTTACGGCTCGGGGAGCATCACAGAACCTGCCCACGTGTGATGTCTCCCCAGGACACCTAGCTTTAAAATTTCTCTCTCTTGTACTCTTTTCCTTTATTTCTCAAACCAGCCAAGATGCTTAGGGAAATAGAAAATAACCCACGTTAAATATTGGGGGTGGGGTTCCCTCAATACCCAGAAAAAAAATCACTTTTAATTTTTTTTTAACATTCTATAAAACATTTTCTATGTATATATGCAGATATTTTGGGTTTTATAACAAAAATAGGTTAATACAATGTATTCTATTTTAGACCTTGCATTTTGTAACAGTCAAATGATCTCGAATATATTACCTAACAGTTACATTTAGGACTTCATTCCATTTATATGGACATTTAATATAATTGCATTATATGCCTATAAAGTGATATACTTATCTTTGTATAATTGCATTACATGACTAGAAATATAATTGCATTATATGACTAGTATATAATTTCTAGTCGTATAATTGCATTATATGACTAGAAAGTGATATACTTTTGCTTATCTTCACCAAGATTGCATATAATTATATTAAAATAATGAATTATGAAATACATTTTAACTAGTATTCCATTAATCATAAAAAATTGATCTTTCTGTGTGTGTATGTGTTTATTTTCAGAATAAAATTTTCATAGGTATTAGACATAAATTTTAGTACTTGTTGAGCATGGGATTATGTGAGAAACATAATTTCATGGAAGCAGAAGAGGCTTCACAGACAGATGGAGATGAAAATTGGTAGTGGATACATGGATCACACTATTGCTGGAATTTTTGGCCTGTTACAGAAGGATTGGAAAGATAGTGGTCAGTCCAGCACAGGAGGTAGGGATGCAACAAGCACTTCAGATGGTGTTTTGTTTTTTGGTCTCTCCTCTGGAAGGGAAGGGAAAGAGTTTGGGAGATCACAAACTGAGTTAGGGCCGAGAACACTACAAGATTGTGGTCTTCTCTCCTCCAAAAACGAGAAGAAAGTGTTCAACAATCCTGAAAGCTGGGCCTTGGGTGGGCCAACCATATTAAGCTTGTGTGTGAGAGGAGACATTGAGTTACTTCTCAAGGTTGAGTAAGGCTTTGTTGGAACTGCCTCTTTGCCTCCCAAACCTGAATGCAAACCTGATATGCTTATTGGCACACCTTCTCTGGTTCCATTAATTTATCCCTCCCCTTCTACCCTGATCGCAATTGCCTTACAGATTCAGGATGAGGCTGAAGTCAACCTGTTCCCAAGGGAGCAGCAGTGCCACAGGCTTTCTGATTATGATGGACAACGTCATGGAGGCCAGATATGTAAACAGTTGCAGCTCTTTTGGTTGCAGACACCTAAGTACCTAGTCCCATGGGAGAAAGGGTGCTGGCATTGTGGACGGCCAAAGTACCAATAAATGTATGATAGACCCATGGTGGCAGGTGAGGGAGCGGAAAGAACTCCTTGAACCCTGAGCACTCCCCAGACAGTAGGAAATATACAGGGAAAAACAGGAATCCTGGGTTCCTGGGAAAGGTGGGGGGTGGGGGGGGAGAGAGAGAGAGAGGAAACAGAGAGAGAGAGAAAAAAGTTGCATTCCCCAGCAACTCCTATCACATCACATGACCCAGACAGCAACATGCCCATTGCATTCCCAGATTCCCAGATTTCCAATGGGAGATAGCAGCAGTTCGCTGTGATTTTAATCTTTGAAATGCTAAATGGGCTAAAAGTGAGTTAACAGTCAGGGATGTGAGTAAATGTGTGTTTAAGAAAACACATGAGGATTTTAAAATTTTGTGTCAAAAATATTTTATGTTGTTTTGTTTATTCTTGTGTGAAAATATGGTCAAAATCGATATAATTTCTCACATGCTTGTAATTCCCCGGGTTATAATCTCTGAGTGGATCATCCCAATTGGGAAAAGCTGCAGATAGAGAAGTGTGTTATTGGGTGAACTCCCTGGTTGTTTGCTAACGGCGGGTATGTTCGCACATAATACAGATGCCTCTAACTTTCCAGGTCAGCAGTCAGAGGAAAAACTGCTGTTTTTCTGACCTCTTGCCACCAAAAAGAAAAGCAGTCTGTAAAGGGAGACAGAATACAGAGGAAAACAGCCTCCAGCTAGAGGCATCTTTTTGGAGTGTTGGATCTGGCCACCAGCTATGCCTTTGAAAAAATTTTTACTGAGCTCTTGTTGAAATTAAATGCCTGACTCATAGAAGCCTGGTAACGCTCAGACTGAATATCCATTTTTAGGTGGACTCTCTGAATGACAAGGCGGAAGCAATGAAAAACAAAACAAATGAAAGTCCTTCCTTGTCAAATGAACTCAGAATATTAAAGAATGCAGCTCTTCAGTCCTAGTGGTTATCTTGCCTTTGATGAAAAAGTGGCAGGTATTCCTGGGGTGGGAAACGTTCCACTCCAAAGCAAAAGTAAAATAACTGGCTGTTTAAGGACATTTAATTCACAATGGTTTCCCCAAATTCAAGTTTGTCTTCAGGAATCTTCAGCTAGGCTGAAACCCTATAATGTATAACAGCAGCTGTTCTAGTCTTCAGAACCAGTTGAGATTTTTACTTGGGGATAATCATCAGAAACATTCAAGTATAAAAGGAAACACCTCAGATGCGTATTCTGTGGGCAGTGTGACATTGCCGCCATCCTGGAAGGCATTCAAGTCAGCCTCAGCTCACTGGCCAGGTTTGTTATGGATATGGAATTACTTACACTTTCTCCTTTGCAGGCCAAGGTGAAGTCTGTGCATATAATTAATATACCCTGCTGTACCTGGATTATTGCCTTGGGCCAGGTGGACAAGTCAAGCCACCTGGCTTTCTAAGGCAGACTCTGAGACTTGATGGTATTTATTTGGCTGGCTAAATACAAGACACCTGTGGGGCATGGCTGAGTTCAACGCTACAGTTGTCTCATCCTGCTGCTCTGAATTCTGCTAGAAATAGCATTGATAAGTGCTATATAGCAAAACCAAGCAGATTGTTTCTCACTCCTGTTGGTAAGAGTTATCAGAATTGCTGATGTAATGGCATATAAATAGTAAATTTTACATAAGCTGTACCATGAAAAACAAAGGGTAGAGCTCTAGAAAATAAAATATTTTCCTGTTCCTTTATGGTCAGGACTTTCTGAGCAAAAATCACTGGCAACCAGGGTTAATGAGTGTTTGAATATTAAGCATAACTTGCAAATTGTAGACCTCCAATTCGCAGATTTTTCTTCCCAACAGTCATTTACTTACATGCATCCGAACGTGTTATGAACACTTAGGAACCTTCCCTACTCTCCCAGAGAGGATTCCTTCATAATGGCAAGGTAAGGACTATCTCCTTCTTTCAGAAAGGGAAGAACTACTGTGCAGTAACTCCAGTTTATACTTTGAAATTAATAACTTCAGATTTCTTCTATAGTGTGGACCCTCCTCTGTACGTGTAGGTTCCATTTGCTCTCACTGTATTACTCCAAAGGGAAGAATAGGGCATTAGGAACCAGTACAGTTATTGCTGTAAATGATAATAAATTTGATCTATGATCCAGAAATTTCTTTCTTGCTTTTAGGTCAGGTGCGGTGACTCACGCCTGTAATCCCAGCACTTTGAGAGACGGAAGCAGGCAGATCACCTGAGGTCAGGAGTTTGAGACCAGCCTGGCCAACATGGTGAAACCCCGTCTCTACAAAAAATGCAAAAATTAGTCAGGCATGCTGGCACGCACATGTAATCCCAGCTACTCAGGAGGCAGAGGTGGGAGAATTGCTCGAACCCGGGAGGCAGAGGCTACAGTGAGCCAAGATCATGCCACTGCACTCCAGCCTGGGCAACAGAGCGAGACTCCGTCTCAAAAAAAAAAAAAAAAAAAAAAAAAACCAACAATGACAACAACAAAACAGTTTTACTTTCCAACCAGCAAGTTATTGAAGATCTTCTTGAAAAAAAGAGAGTTAATTCTTCATTTCATTTTTTTGCAATATCTTATGATTCACTATTAAGAAAAGTCAAGGCATTCTGCCTGAAATTCTCAGTCAGATCTGCCTGTTCAATGAGTACGTTTGCAATGGTAATTCACTCATTGTACTTTAAGTCTTTTTTCACCTTTCAGTCCCAAAACCAATGCTGTAATTTTATGTTTCCAACATTGTGGAACTAAATTTCCAGATATAAATTTGTATTTCCATTATCTAATCACCTCAAAACTTGATTTAAAATTAACAACAGTTTATTATTTCTCACAATTCTATGGGTTGAAGTGACAGAACACTATTCTGTTCCACATGGTATGTACTGAAGTCACATGTCCACATTGATCTGTGACGGCCTGTCACCCTTCAGAGCTTTTCTCTCCATGGCCCCTCATTGTTTAGTAGAGTAGCTTGGTGAGTTTCTTCCCATGATGGCAGCTAGCTGCTGATAAAAAGTAGAAGCTACCAGATTTCTTAGGGACTAAGCTTATAGGATCAATTCCTTCACATTCTTTGAGTGAAAGTGAATCACAAAACTAGCGCGGATTCACAGGAAGGGAAATAGATTCCACTCTCTTGAGAAGTGTCATGCATGCACAAAAATGAGGGGATTGTTAGATTAATGGTGGCCATTTTTAGAGACTCTATGACATTATCCAAATGATTCATTATTTCATTTAGCTTTTTTCTTTTTAAAGAAGTATTTTGAATATTGTTTATTATTATTACCTCTAAAGTGGCTTTGTGTTTTAAAATGGCTCCATATCACTTTTTTGTGGTTATTCAATAATTTAATTAATTAGGCCCTAATTTATGGATATGTAGGTTGTTTTTAATTTGGGGTTATTCCAATGTTGTGAAGAATACCTTTGTATATATGTTCATAGGGAAAATGCTGCATCAAAAGATGTAAGCAATTTTTAACGTTGATAGATACTGTTAAATTACCCTTCTCACATTGCATGAGTACTTCTATATGCCTTTGAAAGCACAATGCATTACAGAAATTCTACATTCTTTCTCATAAGAATACTGCTGTATTACAACTTTAATTTTCATTTCAATTTTTCCCTTCTTGTTAGTGAAGTTGGACATCATCTTTAGATGTTTCTGTGAAGCTTTAACTTCCTCTTTTTTGAAAGATTTGTTTATATTATTTGCTTATTCTCATATTGAGTTGTTCATCATTTGTTTTTTCTTATTGATTTATCGTAGCTATATTATCCTTTATGTATATTTGCCCTATAAATGTTGTTCAGAAAGTAGCTTTAAAATAGCATTACTCATAGTTTCAGTAGCAAAGCCAGCCAGTAATGTTCATTATTTCCTTAATTGGGAAGTTGACATTTAAATAATATTATTAATATCCAGAATTTTTATTTTATAACATAAAAATAGATTTTAGATTTTAGATGCATTAAATAGCTCTATATTAAACTTTTAAAAAATAGTATGTTTAAATGTACTGATTGCAGGATGATGAAATGAGCTTGTTGCCTTTAAAAGAATATTTCCTTTTTCATATGAAAATCTAGAGTTAAAAACTTTTAGTAATAGAGCTCAAAGAGATGACAATTCTATTCACTTTTTGAATTAGTAAATTCATATTTACATTTAATCATTCAGATTTTCTCATGTTTATTCATAGCATGTCATCAAATATTTATTATATTCCTTAGAACTCCAGGGACTATGGATGTACACTAGAAGGTACTGGTCCTCAAGAGATAAGCTACCTAGCTTGAGGGACCAAATTGATATCCATGGAGTAAATACATATAGATGAAAGTGAAATGTCATCACGACAGACAAGGTGAACCGTCAGTTAAAATTATAGACTCATTCTAAAAGAGAGATTAAATGAAATGATAAAATGGGAAAATAGGAAAAAACAAGAAATTAAAAGTAACTTTTGATGAAATTAACTTAGAAAACTATGAAAAGAATATCTATCTTTGCATTTGTTATCTATTGCTGACTGATAAATTTCTTCCCCATTTAGCGACTTATTACAATAAAAAATTCACTATCTCACATAGTTTCTAAGGGTCAGGAATCTGGAAGCAGCTTTGCTGGGTTGTTTGGCTTAGTGTCTCTGTGAAGTTGTAGTCACGCTTTTGGCCAGGACTGCAGTCATCTCAAGGCTTGACTAAGGCTGGAAAATCCTCTTCCAAGCTCATTCACATGGGTTTTGGCAGGCCTCAGTTCCTCACTGGCTGTTGGCTGGAGGCCTCAGTTCCTCACCATATGGATCTCTCTGTAGGATGTCTCATACCATGGCAGCTGGCCTCCCCTAGAGCAAGCAGTACGAGAGTAAAAGTGACCTTTTATTATCTGGTATCCAAATCATACACCATTGCATCTGCCTTATTCTATTAACTAGAAATGAATCACTAAGCCTAGCTCACACTAAAGAAAATTACATAAAAGTATAAATATTATAGAGCAGAAGGATGTACACATCCTTGAATTTTATAAATAATATCTGTAAACTCTTAGAGTGAAATTATGGTAAATAATGAATTGTGTGAAGTTTTTCCCCCTGACATCAGAAATAGCACAATGAAACCCTCAGTTATCACTTCTATCCAATTCTTTACTAGAGGTTCTAACTAATACAACAAGAATAAACAAATAAATAAAACTAAATGACACAGGGATTAAAAAGAACAAAATGAAACTACGAAAAGAAGAGACTGGAAGGTAGAGAAGAAGGTGTGGGGAGACGGATGGATTCCTATAAGAGCGAAAGAACATTTTTTTTTTGCATGCAATGCAGTTAAATTTAATCAATTTTTTTATTACTATACATTTAAAAGCTTAAACAGAAAAAAAACTGCTATTACACACAGAAAAAAAAAATAGGTCATTTTAAATAATATCAGACACATAAAAATCTAGAAACTAGAATTTTAAAGCATGTGTATAATCTCCACACTAAAACATAAAATCTATTATACAAATAAATAAAAACCAAATAAATGGAGGAATACGCTGTGTCCATGAATTGCAAACCTAATATTGTAAAGATGTCAATTATTTCCAAGTTGATCCACCTATTCAAAGCAATTTCAACCAAAAGATTAGAAAATTTTATTTCTTCAGAAATCAACAAGACTTTTCTATTATCTAACACATGGAAATAAAGGTAATCTTGAAGAAGAATGTGACTGAAAGATTAATCTTATTATATCGAGCCTTGTATATTCAATGGTATAAATCGGACAGTGTGCTGTTTGCACAAGGATAGAAAAATAGATCAAGTTCTAGAAGAAATAGCCCAGAAATAATCCCTGTATATGCTGCCACCTGATTGAATATAGTGGGGGTACTGTAGTTCAACATTTGCCCTGGATCAATTGTATATTCATTTGAAAACAAACAAAAACAAAGGACCCCAATTCCCACCACACAAGAAAAGACATATACAAGCTGTTCAGAGCAACACTCCTTTTAATAAACAAAAATGAACAAAAACAAATAAAATTTCTATGAATATTAGAATGAATATGTATTTTGTAGTGTATTAATAAAGAAGAATGTTATTACAAAGCAATAAGTATGAACAAAGTACAACTATATATCACAAACATCTATTGATCGAAAGAAGCCACAAATAAGAGCATGTACTGCATAATTTCACCTGCATAAAGTTAAAAAATAAACCAAATTAATTTATGGTATTAGAAATAGGCTGTGACTGTCTTTGGCCATTGAGGAGAAAATGAACAAAGGGTCATGGCGGACTTTTAGATTTCAAGTAATTTTTGTTTAGTTTTGTTTTACTTTTAAAATATTCTAGATGCATATTACAAAGCATGTTCACTCCACAGTTTTGATTTATTTTCTGTTTTTATATGAGTATTATTGTTCAATAAAATTGAGAGAGTAGACTTTTTTTAAAAAAAAAGGCCCAGAAAAGAAAAATTATAACTGAAAGAAGAAAAGTATGTTTTAAAGGTCCTATCTTTTCAAGTAGTTTGTATTTTTGGTTTAAATTTTACATGGAGACTATTGCTGATAATTGCAATTAAAAAAAATAAAATATTTACGGATATTTTTCGATATGTCATGAAGTAAGATTGAAAAATATGAGTAATTGTGAAGAAACGCCTCATTATGCAGCCTTGAAGAAGCAAAGAAACAGTCTTGAAATGATATAAAAGAAATGACTCACTGTCACATTCTCATGTTTCTTCCAAAGTTTTTAAAAATGTCATAAAAATCTATAGGTATTTTATAAATTGATTGCTATCACTTAAGTATTTAGTTTTGAGATTAGGTTACTATAACATTGGCTTCAGATGGCAGGAAAATTTGTTTAAGTAGAGCCACAACTAGAAAATTAAATATACAA